TTGCCCTTGCAAATGTCCCCATGTGGCATTATGGATTTAAACCCCCCCTAATTATATAATCCACTATCCCCCCTTTCTCGGACCATTACCACTTGTAAATTATTATGATCGGCTTGCTTTTGTTCCTATAAATTCTCTTCCTTTGGAATCAAACACCGAAAAGGAAGACATTAGTAGCACAAGGGAGGGTCAAACTTTGTGATCCTTTGTATGTGGAGTGGAATGGGTCACAAAATTTATCTCTCACATTACATGGACTAAGCCCCCCCTAAATATATGCATACATATGATGGAGAATATAGTTTATGCAAAATTGGTAAATTAATGCTCAAGAGAGTTTAATCTATATAATGTATGGAGAAAGCATATAAATACCAAAGTGAAATCAACATGATGATATCGGTTTAGAAATACCACATGTGGAAACCAATTTGATTTATACCACTTGCAATATGTGGTGGATATTTGAAGTATAATGCTTAACTCCGTGGACTCCATTTTCCTTGCAATGAGACTACTACACATGATAAGCTTGAAAAGATGTTAGTCTCAAAGCATCCAACTTGTAGTCCTCCTAAATTTGTGCATATAAGTATGGAATGCTTGTAGGAAAATGCACATTGATTTTAGAATCAACGATACCACCTGAAAGATGATATCACATGAATGTGAGAATCGTTTTCAAAAGTGATAATCGGAGAAAATTATCTACAATTTGGACTTTGGCACATATTAGATAAACAATTGTAAAACTAGCTATGTACCGTGCTCCTAAATAATTTAAACCATGTAGGTTTGCTCCAAGGGTTAAGAATGAAACCGAGCAAGCCTACCATAAGATATACCTAGTGTATGCAAGACAAAAGATTAAACATGCAAATGTAAACCTAGGCATGAAAAGGAACTAGATGCTAATTGAAATTACAAGAAATTAAATCTAGTTACCTAACATGGGGAGGGGAATTTGAGTCCGTAATGTTCACTAACCCACTTGGCAATTAACATGATCCAATGTGATGCACCCCATGAAATGCACCCAAAACTATACCAAGTCTCCAAATTCCCCGAAGTCCATCGGACTTCTCACTTTCCTTTCGGGATCCAAACCTTCTTGGTGCTTTTTATGTTGGAAATGATCTCCTTTGGCACCAAAATGCATTTGGCCCCATTGTTGGCTTGCTTGTTCATCTTGATGGCCACCACCTTGTCATTTTTCTTCTTCTTCAAGAGATAAGGTGTGGAGGCCTTTTTGTCCACCTTGTTGGTGTAGGTGTTGGTGAGCTTGCTTGTTTGCTTTTTATTTTTCTCTTTCTTCTTTTCTCCTCCCCCATTCTTCACCTTGCTCTCATAGGACTTGTGGCCTTCCTTGTGGCATAAGTAGCAAACCTCGGTTTGTCCTTCATCAAGCTTCTTCTCTTCCTTGACGGTGTTATCTTGATGAAGTTGGGCTTGCTCCGTCTTGTCTTTCACTTGAGTCAATTCCTTGGTGAGGCGAGCCACTTCTTGCTTGAGTTGCTCATTCTCCATTGTGACCTCTTGTGTGCATGTTTCTACAACAACTTTCTTAACATAAACTTCGTTGCACAAAAGTGAGTCTAAACATAAATCATTACAAGAAGTAGAGGCATCCTTTTTAGGCATGTCAAAAAATTAAACCTTTCTTTTTAGGTGCCTCGGTGGGGTTGTACCGATGGCTTCAAGATTAGCAACTTTATTAGTTAGCTCATCACAATATTTGCACATGGTTTCCATTTTAGCGAGCAAACTTTTATAATCATCTTGTGAGCTAGCTAACTTTTCCTTTAATTTTTCATTTTTCTTTACAAGTTGCTCATCATTGATTGTGCAATTATTTGTGTTTGCACTAGTCTCAAGTTGCTCAATTTTAGTAGATAGCTCCATATTAAGATCGACAAAAGTTTCATATTGTTCAAGCAAAGGAGCATAAGCTTATTGTGAGCTATCTAGTTTTTCTTCTATTTTTTTAAGCTTCTTTTGTTGACTAGTGCAAACTTTAGCAAAATTAAGATTTTGTTGCACAATTTTATCATAAGAAGGTAGCTCGTCATCACTATCATTATCATTGTAACTCTCACTAGGGATAGACTTTTTATTACCTCATGCCATAAGGCACACACGTGAGGTGCTTGATGATGAGTGCTTGTGCCCGCGCCTCTTGTGGTGGTCTTCTTCTTCACTTGAAGAATCGTCCCATGACCTTATTGTTGTGAGGGCTTTGTCCTTGCACGCCTTCTTTGTCTTGGGTGTAGTCTTATTTGGACAAACTTCCACAAAGTGCCCCAACTCGTCGCATCCATAGCATCTTTTCTTTCTTTGCTCATTTCTTTGAATGGTGAAGATGAAATCTTGAATTTAGATGGGCACACCCTTGACATTGAGTTTTTGAATCATCTTCTCCACCTTGTTGATAAGCTTGATAGATTCTTCATCAAGGTCGGAGGTGGAGGAGGAAGATTGATCATCATCCTCAACTTCTTCTTCATCTTCACTTGAGGAGGTTGAGCTTGAGCTTGTCTCAACTTGCTTGCCCTTCATCTTCTTTTTCTCACTACATGTGAGAGCTTTGCCTTTGCTTGATGAAGAGACTTTTTCTTGACCCATCTTGCATGACATTTCAAATGCTACTATCTTGTCAATGACTATGGCCGGAGTTATGGTGCTCAAGTCCTCCATGTTGTGAAGGATGATAATGATGCTTGCATATTTCTTTTGTGGTAGCACGGAGATGATTTTCCTCACAATGTCCGCATCATCTAGCTTTGTTAATCCTATTGAATGGAGCTCATTGATAATTAGATTCAAACGAGAATACATATGACGAACAAGCTCATCATCATTCATTTTAAATGAATTATAATTTTGTTTAGCTAGAGAATGTTTTTGCTCACGGACATTAGTTGTGCCGTCATGGAGCTCTTGGAGTTTTAACCAAATTTCATGTGCCGTATTTAAAGTGAACACTTGGTTAAACACATCCATGCTAAATATATTCAAACAAGCAATTTTTAGCTCAAGCATTGAAATGAATTTCTTTTTCTTCACTCTTAGTTGGTTTATCGGGATTCTTAATGGGTTTCATCCCGTCATGAGTGACTCTCCAAGCACCCAAATCTACCGCATCAAGGTGACAAGCCATTCTAGTTTTATAGTAGGGGAAGTTAGTGCTGTCAAAGTGCGGAGGCAAGAGGTATTCATCCCAACCACTCTAAATAGCGTCGGCTCAACGGCGGTGAAGCCAAAGGCCCAAATTGAGCCAACCGGCTCCAATACCAATTGAAAGGGGACCGTGACGCCTAAGAGGGGGGGGGGGGTGAATTAGGCAACTTAAAAGTCTAACTCTAAACTATGGCCTCATTTTCTATTTTTAGCAAAGCCTATGTAAAAGATAAACTATCTAAATGTGTAACTATGGTTTTGCTAGTGTGTTGCTATCTCTACTGAAAAGAGTTATGCAAACAATGTAAACGCGGAAGCTAAAGAGTAAGGTAGAGATATGAAAACTCCCGTCGACGACTCCGGTATTTTACCGAGGTATCGAGAAGCGTGCAAGCTTCCCCCTAGTCCTCGTTGGAGCCCCTCACAAGGAATCCCTCGCAAGGGCCAAGCTCTCGGTCGGATAACCTTGTGGATAACTTCGGGCCTTCCCCACGTGCAAGTGAGTCTCCGGTGTGCCTTCTGGCAAGCCTCTCCCGGACCACTCCCCGCCGTCTTCACTATCAAGCTTCCGGCCGAACCGCCGCGGGCCCTGTTCTCTTTGGTACACGGTGGCGTTCACACCACAGACGCGGTTGGTGTGATCTTGCAAGACTACAAGCCCCTCCGATATACAACAATGGTGCGTGCAAGGACCGAGTGGTAAGAGGTATGTAAACATCACTAAACACTAGGCCTAAACCTAGAGCAAGCGCATAAGCGGGGGTCTAATCAACCTAAGCACTTCACAAAAGCACCTACGCTAATCACCTAATGAATCAATAAGCACTATGCAAGTGGAGATCACTAAAATGATGTATTAACATCCTTGGTATGTTTCCTCAGCCTCACTATTCTCAAATGGCCAGTTGGGGGGTCTATTTATAAGCCCCACCGAGAAAGTAGTCGTTGGGGGTGAAACCCAGCTTTCTGCTACTGTTCGGACGCTGATCACGTCTTGACCGGAGCATCCGGTCGTCCCAACCGTTGGAGCGCGCGCATTGATCGGACTCGGCTCATAGTCCGGTCATCATTGACCGGACGCGTCCAGTCGCGCTGGCGCCGCTCTGGAATCTCTCTAGACTCGATTGGACGCTACACTTCGTGCGTCCGGTCATCCAGTCTGCTGCGTCCGGTCACGCTGAAAACACTGCCGTGACGATAAACAGTGTCACCGATGTGTCCGGTCACTGTTTCGCTCAGCGTCCGGTCACAGCTGTCGATGACTGTTGTTGCCTGGCACCTGATCGGATGCGTCGATCACTCATAGGGCCGCGTCCGGTCACCTCTGCAGAGCTCGTTTCTTTGCGATCTTGCGTCTGGTTTGGTTTTAATCTTCATGCTTGGATTTTGCTTATATCTTGGGTCGTCTCTTGTGCTTGTAGGGTCTTGCTTTTGGTGTTGATCGTGAGATCATCATGTCGTCTTCGTCTAAGTCACGTCTTGCACCCTATTGAACTACAAAACAATTACTTACAAATTCATTAGTCCAATTTGGTTGTGTTGGTCATAAAACACCAAAATCCAAAGTAAATGGACATAGAATCCATTTTTCTTACCGTGTACAACAACTACCTACTCCTAAAGTACACCAACTACCTACTCCTAAGGTATAAGGCTTAGCTCAGCCATCTCTACACTACGTGACTGAAGTAAGCCATTTCTACTCCCTTACTGCAACAGCAGCAAGGACTGAACAGCTGAGCCGACCAGTTCTAACTCCTAATCAGGGAGTGGACAGCTTAGCCGACCAGTTCAAATGGGGGGCAGCAGATTATGTCTTACACCCTTCTCCACGACGACTCCTCCCTCAAGCACAGCGATCACAGCACAGTTATGGATGGCGCTGAGCCTGTGCGCCACCACCACACTTGTCCGGCCAGCCATCACCCTGTCAAGCGCCTCCTGCACTGCCTTCTCCGACGCGCTGTCCAGCGCGCTCGTAGCTTCGTCCAGCAGCAGGATGGCCGGGTTCTTCAAGATGGCGCGGGCGATGGCAATGCGCTGCTTCTGCCCACCCGACAGATGAACTCCCCGGTCACCGCACCACGTGTCGTACCCATCCTTGAGGTTGGTGATGAAGCCGTGCGCATTGGCGGACCTCGCCGCGTCCTCCACCTCCGCCTCGCTCGCCGTCTCCGCGCCATACTTGATGTTCTCTCTCTCTGATCGTGCCGGAGAAGAGCGTCGGCTCTTGGCTGACGAGCCCGATGTGGCGTCGCAGGGCTCGGAGGTTGTATGTCCTGATGTCTCTGCCATCGATTTTCAGGTTGAATCTTATTTGTTTCGCGGTACAGAACAGCGAACAGGGAAGCCACCGCGTCGCCTCCCTTGGCGAGGTCGGCCGTCATTCTGCACGCGTCGGCGATGACACGGCCTGTGGTGACGAGGATCATGGTGGTCTGGAACACCGCTTCGGCGGTGATGCGCTGCTCGGCCATGAGCCTGGCGCCGTACCAGAAGTTGATGACCCAGGAGAAGATCATCAGGCTCACGGAAGTGCCGATGCCGAGACCCGCGAACCAGGATTGCCGGACGCTCTCCCTGCGCGGCCCGTCCTCTGCCTGCTCGAAGAGGCGGAGGATGCGGTCCTGGGACGAGAAGGCCGCGATGGTGCGGAGGCTGGAGAAGGCCGCGATCTTGGCGGTGAAGTTGCGGAGGAGGTCGGGGCCGCTGCCGAGGTTGTTGGCGATGTGGCAGGCGATGAGGAGCCGCAGGGGCGTCGACATGCCGTCGCCGATGGCGCCTACCAGGCCCAGCGCCATCAGCTCCCAGTCTACCACGTCGGCGTGCATGAACACCGGCATGGTCGGCTCGATGGATCGAAGAACCCCTCGCGCGCCGCCGCAACTGGACCTTCTTCTTTGCGTGTTCCGGCGTGCTTCGGTCGATCAGTACTACGCTGCTGTGCCGGTATTTACGACAAGACGACTGGATTATTCGATCAGGCCCAACGCATTGGCTATTTATCATGCATACGGGTATATACATCTGTGTGTGGAGTCATGGGAAACCTGTGGTGCTCACAGTCTCACACCAACACGCAAGTCTCTGAGAGTTCCGTTGCATTCCTACATGGCAAATAAACATGCAGTTAAGCATGAATCAGCCGTGTAACAAGCCGCCAGCTGCACTGCATACTTTTTTTTGAAAGTAGCTGCACTGCATACTCGAGTTGATCCTTTTCTTGTGCTATGCCATAGAAGCGGTCAAACTATTTAATTTAGACATGCTGCTAGCAGGCCGATCATAAGAAAAATCTGCCCCACCCCCACCACAAAAAAGCACTGCTAGTTTAAACAAAAAAATCAGTACTAGTAGTACCTTATATTGCTCCTTATTTTTTTTATCTCTATACAAATAAGAAATCAGTACATCCTGATCATCGATGACGACAGGTGTCCGATCCATTGTTTCTTGTTTCTCCCAAAGCCGCCGTCTACATCAAAGCCCATGCATCCTAACTTCAAAACTGCTATCTTGCTGCGCTCAACCTTATTATAACTACATTATCAACACGTAAGGAATTCTGGGAGGATGAGAGCCTCTGCTACTGTTCAATGTATTGATGTTACTATACTGATCGTGTTGGTCAAGCGTTTGCACGTAGTGTTCACTGTTTAGTTAAAAAAAAGTGTTGGTCACCATTCAGTTAGAAAAGACGTATCCACTGACCACAGATTTGAAATTCCACAAAGCTTGGATCGAGCCTCTCTGCTACTGTTTAATAAGGGGTTGTTTGTTTGCCCACCCCAAATGGGCCACTGTGCCCTAGGGGTGCAGCTTAGGTTGTCTGATTGTTTGGACGGGGTTCGAAGCTCGGTCCGCACGCCCAATAAAGCACCCAAGATGCTGCATCCTAGGAAACGAGATTTCCTTTCGTTTCTCACGGGCCAGGCTCGTCGCGAGCACGAGACAACACCGCCATCACCTCCCTTACCGGCACCTCCTCTTTGCGACCGCATTTTCTTCTGTCCACAACCACACCCCGCACAACCACCACCGCCTCTGTCGCACCGCAGCAGAAAAGGAGAAGCCTCGCCGGTGCAGGCCGACCACTCGCGAAAGAGGTGATCTTTAGGACCTCAGGGGCACAAGACTTTATTCATAGCAACCTGAGACATATCTTAGCAACATATAGTTGAGTTTCATCCATTGCCTTGGGCCCTCGATTTGCTCGGCGCTGTCCCAAGCTTTATTGCAGAAGGTGCTTCTGATGCATCATATCTCGACCTTGGAGTTGTCGTCCTTGGCCGAATCACCTCCTTTTTCCTCCGGTTTTGTTTCCTCAAGCGCATCTTTGGGTATCGGAGTCGCCGGTGAAGCTGATAACAAAAGGAGGGTGGGTGATATGTTTACTGGGGTGACCGGCATGGTCTGGTGCTCTGGAGATGAGAGTGCGCATTGGGTGGTTCCCGATCTCATTCTGCGCTTTATCTCGATGTTGAGTCTCGCCTCATCGGGGATAAGGGCGCGGTCGGCCTACTCTACAGCCTCCCTCTCGCACTCATAAGTGTCCCAGAAATTGCCAGCTATGGTGATGACACCATGTGGGCCTAGCATCTTGCCTTTGAGGTATGGATAGCTAGGGACCGCCATGAACTTGGCATAGCACGGCCTCCCGAAGATGGCATTGTAAGGACCCTCGAAGTCAATGACTTCAAAGGAAAGTGTCTCCTTGCGGTAGTGCACCTATTTGCCAAATGTGACGGAGAGGACAATGGTGCCAAGAGGCATAACCCAGCATCCCAAGACGATCCCATGGAACGGGGAGTGTGAAGGGCATAGTTTGCTTGTATCGATATTGAGCCTTTCAAAAGCATCCTTGTAAAGGATGTTTATCCCACTGCTCCATCCATCAAGACTGTAATGACCCGAATTCGCTACAACCACCCAGGCCCTCAAATTTGGATATTTAACAAGGCTACATTGTTTTTCTACTTCACCAAGCGACCCGTGAGCCGGACGAGCCTGAAGTTAACAATAGTTAGCGCACCCACTAAGGATCACATTATCATAACCTAAGTTGTCACTGATTAGGTTGTTAACCCTTGGAACAAGTGAAGTAACTCTAATTGCCAAATCTTGAGTGTTTGGACTAATCCCATGAGTTCAAAGACCACCGGACAATCCGTTGTGATACCAGATCATCTGCCAGTAACTGAGCTGCATGTAGTGAGTGGGGAGTGAGCTATCCTCCACTCAACCCTTGGACCCACCTGTCATATGCACAAAATGGATATACCAAATCTCAGCTGAAGCAACACCAACCCATTTTACTCTCCCATTTCTCACCCTCTCCCTCTCTCTATAAAGGAACAAGAGTGGGGAAGAACTAGAGAGAGAAGATGAAGGTGGAAGTGGAGATGGAGGTGGAAGATGAAGTGAAGGAATGCAATCCAAGATCACCATCTCATTAAGGTCAAGCCATCCTTATCTCATGATCATGGTTAGCTCATGAGCTCTCATCTCTTTAGTTGAAGATTTCTCTCAAACCCTAATCTCAATCTCTCATGCATGTATGGATCATGGAGTGTGGTGACCTCTCATTCATCACAAAGGCAAGGGATGTTCAACCCCTTTTCATGGAGTCTAGCATTTCATGGATTTCAATCTTGGAGTTAAGCTTTCTTGCTCAATCTTATGTATTTGTCACAAGTGGTTCATGGGAAGAGATGTAGTCAAGTCACTAGATGCACTAGTTAGCCAAAGCCTAAGACCCAACTAGCCTAACCCTACCATATCCCTGAGATCATCTCGGAAGTATAGTGCACATGCATGGATGTTTACCACTCCAAAGTAGCAACTAACCAACCCCAAAACATAGAGCATAGGTTCTGTCGCCCAATTAGCGGAGCGTCCGCTGATGCGACGGAGTGTCCAATAAACCTCCCCAATTTAGTAAATCTCCCAGCAGAGGCACCTAGACCGTTATGAGAGTGAACAACGGAATGTTCGATTGTTGATCGGAGTATCCGTTGAATTATAAAGACTCACAGCCAAAGAACCTAAGAGCACCTAGTTCCTACTGGATCGTCCGTCACTCACGCCAGAGCATCCGATGAATTATATACATAGAGTAACCCAGTAACCCAAGAGTGCCCAAAACCTATCGAAACATCCGTGAACCCCGCGAAGCATCCGCTAGAGCCTGAACAGAGTCAACCAGAGATAACCCACCTCGGTGCCCAGCACAATGGAACATCCATCAGATAGTACGGAGCATCCAACTTTCACATAGAGTGTGAGTTTATTTAACAAGCTTACCCAGCAGTCAACGGTATCAGTTAGCATCCCAATCCAGCAACATAAGAGTAGAATCACTGATTAGATGTCTCATCCCAGGATCCAACGGTGACTTACCCATGTTCCTTATCATCGGTGAATCTCTCCAGTCAGATCTCTCTCGTTCCTTTCAGGAATCGTCTCGATAAGAAGCGTGTATAGGATGTCATCATCAGCTTCTAGATGTCTGAACGGCAACACCATCAGGCAGGCACCCCACTATTATGAACCCTACTTTGGATACTTATCAAGTTACATTATGAGTCATGCATTACATGTAGTCTTGGATGATGATCACCTTCGCACTACACCTAGAGTAGTTTAATAATCTGTAGAAGCCTTTCTTTTAAACACTGGGAATGGGAACGCTTAATGCTTATTTCTTAGTTGCTTGGGCAATGGTAGAAGTCGAGCATGAGAAGGGAACTCATATTCGCGCGTGTAGGATGTTACACCTAGATAATTAACTGCTAAAACCAATGAGGGTACAACTTGACTTACCTGACTAATCTAGCTATGGACTAATGTTTCTAATATGATAATCCTATTGATAACTTGGATATCTTGCTCATGAGAGGGGTAGGTCGTCGTGAGTGTGGGATCTCAGACGACATAGCTCGTGGAGCAGTAAGGACCATGTATTGGGATACATAAGTCCGAGTAATCACCCATATAGACCACATGTCGTAGATGGGGTCGAGAAGCCAAGTAACTAGTTGTGACCAGTTTATCCGTGAAACTAGAAAGGGGGGTGGCGTCGATTGGGAATGTCTAGGACATTGACCGAGAACCCAGTCGAACCTTTCATCGGACACTCAGGCTAGATTAGGGAAAGGTTGGAGAACGTGAGGCAACCCTTACTACCGGACCCGGTGTATGGTGGTTAGTCCCGTTTTCCATGTGGGTACAGTTGTACACCTCTGCAGAGTCTTTAAAGCCCAAAGTCCTTCGGGACGGAACTGTTCGCTTGTTCTTTCTTTCTATACCCATGGTAGCATGAATGATGGATTATGAGCACTTCTGTTATAATGATAAATACCTTTACTCCTAATGTTGAGCATAGCATGTCATAATCTTAATGAACATCATTGCTTTCCACACTCATACAAATGCCCAATAATTACCCTGTGCATCCACCAAATATTATATGTTGGAATTAAGTCCAGCGAGTACGTAATGTACTCACGGTGCAGCCATTAAGTTGTTTTGCAGGCAAACTAAGTGTCTTCCCGAGTTTAGCTTCGGCGAAGGCACAATTAGCAAACCTTGGAGCGGGCGATCTCCAAGCTGAGCTACGTGTAACCCAACGAGTAGATGAGCCATCAGAGTGGCAACCCAGTGCAGAGATAGAGTCATCCAGAGTATTAGATTCAGTAGTCTTATACCTTCTAACCCTATTTTGTTATTAATAATACTCTAGGAATGAGTGCAAGACTGGACGAGTTGTCTGAAATGCATTGTATTGGGTATGTGTGTGTAACTTAGCACAAAGATCTTGAAGAGGAGTTGCTACGTGCGCTCC